CCTTTCACAACTTTTCCTGCCTTAACAATCTTGTTCTTCTTCCCGTTCATTGTTGATTGTTTTGCGGCTTCATTATTCTCTGAGTTTTCACGCTGGGCCTAAACATGCTCTATTCTTGAAGACCAATAACGGTTATAAAGCTTGACCTCACAATATCAAGACTAGCTTTTCCCATTTTTGCATTGGAAAGCTTCTTCAATTTTGCAACAAAAAATCCGTCGATGTTGTGCACATGAGGATAATAGCGTCTTGTTAGGCTTAGTGAAGGATGAAAACGATATTCACGGAATCTGATATACCAATGTATAATGATCATAATTAGAGCGAAGATAATGTATTATTACCTGGTGAATCCTTCCACACCCACCTCTAGGCCACAAGGTACTAATTCACAATGCCTTTTTTGTAGCGCATAATTAACCACAGCTTCGTTTTCTTCAACCTACAAAGATTTTCTCACAAAGAAAAGTTCAGAGATTTGGCAACAGTTACAAACGATGAATCAAACGGTCTGCGAAACTTCGCATCATTTCCATTTTCCAGCATTTGAAACATTCGAAACATCACTAACACACGACAGGTGTGTAGTAGCTAGTTTTCTTACCAAAACTGAGCATGTGGAGTAGACAACATATCCACCATTAGGAGATTTCGCATCGACAGCATCCAGTGCGGCAAGAATTAGTTGTCTTTGTACAGTGTGCCTGATAAGCCGTGGATTACTCAACTCCCATAAAAAAGCACCTCTTTAAAACACACTTCCGTTGGATATCTTGACTATCTTTGCTTGTCTTCACAGACTGGTCTTTCCAAATCACACCTGTACCAGAACAAGGAGCGTCGAGGAGAACACGATCGAAACCATTCGGCGCCAGCTTTAGAAAAGCCACAACTTAGTGCTTCGGAACAAATCACTATACTTACAGGAAACAACGCACACCTTTGCATATTCCTCTCCGCCTAGATTGCTTACAATAGCATTGTTGACACCTAATCTATGTAGGTTCCCGATAATTGCTTTGCACCGAGTTATCTGAAGTGGCAAAAAGGAATATGTAATTCCATTTACAGATATGTTAGATAAAACATTCTATGGCTACTCACATTGGCGTCATTAGCAAACAATACACCGCTGTTCTTCATAAGACTAGCAATGTGAGAGGTTTTTCCTCCTGGGGCAGCGCACATGTCAAGCACTCGATCACCTGGTTGTGGTGCAAGCGCCATAACAGGTAGCAAAGAATTTAGACCCTGGATCATGTAATGGCCAGCAAGATACTCGGGAGTTGCTCCTGCGGATATTGGAAGCTTTTGTGACCCATTTTCATTGTAAGAAAGATGAAAGACTTACCTACAGGCACTTGTGAATCATACACTACTAAACCAACTTTTGTCCATGGTGCAGCAGGGTCAACATTCATGCCACGATTGATCAGCGATTTTGCCAAATCACCCCT